TCAGCCTCTGGGTGCCTGCCACATGCCTGGCACCACCCTGCCCCCCCCAACACACACACACAAGGTTACTGTCTAGGGGTGAGGAGGGGCAGACAATGGACAAAGATGCAGACAGCAACAGTGATGAGAAGGGTTGAGCAGGGAAGGGGCTTTACAGAATGCTGCGAGGAGGGCAAGGAGCAGCCTTTGACAGAGTGACCTACAGGAAGATGGGAAGAAGAAGAAAAGCTGTGAGATATTTGGGGGAGGCGGGTTCCAGCTGCAGAAATAGCCAGTGCAAAGGGCCTGAGGTGAGCACATGCCTGGGAGCTTGAGGAGCCTGGGGAGAATGCCAAGGTGGCGTCACAGCACTGCTGACCTTGCCCGCCCATCCCACCGCCATCAAGTCCCGCAGGACAGAGTCCCAGCTGGAAAGGGGCCTCTCTAGCACACACCAAAGGGACAAGCCTGGGACTGGCACACACTGGGTGTCATTGCCAGAGCAAGGCTTCTGTAGAAGGGCAATGTCCCGCACAGAGAAGGTCATCCCCACGGTGCGACTATTGTCTGGGGACAAAAGGGACCACTGACACACAGACACACAGTGGCTCAAGCTTGAAACCCATTGCCCGATGCTGGCCCCCTATCCTTTGGAGTCACATGCCCTGACAGCTGAAGTTGTCTGAGCCTCTTTTGCCTCCTAGACCCCAGGTCCTGCAGCCTATCGCCAGACGGATGTGCAGGTGACAAAGTTCAAGGCTCCACAGTACACCATGGCAGCCCGGGTGGAGCCCCCAGGGGACAAGACCCTCAAGCCAGGACCAGGAGCCCACAGTCCTGAGAAGGTCTAGGAAGAGCAGGGCCCAGAGGGGTGGGGTGAGGGGTGCGGGGTTACAGTGAGGAGGGAGTGGGGATGGGGGTGACATGGCCCAGAGGAGGTGGGGGTGGTCATGACCCAGTGGGGAGGGGTAGCAGGGGCACCACCCAGAGTGCGGGGGGGGCACAGCCCGGGGAGCAGGGACCACAGGCCAAGGTGGTTGAGTTATTGCGGGCACAACCCGGGGGGGTGGGGTTGGCAGGGCAGAGCCGGTGCGGGGGGCGGGCACAGGCCAGAGGAGTAGCTGGGGAGCAAGCCCAGAGTGGGTGTGGTGGGGAAGGGCCCGTGAGGGTCACAGTGGCCATGCACCCCTAGGATGCTAGGCATTCGTGGCACATCCATTTCCCCAGCTGGCAGGTTCTGCCTCCCCAGAAACCAGTGACAGTTAGTGTGCGGAGCACTCACCACACAACGGCCTCTGTGTTCAACCTGGCAGTGTGGTCTTGCTGTCTGTCAGCCTGGCCCAGGTGCAGGAAGCACAGGGAAGCCACTGTCAGCAGCTCTGGCCCCTGGGACGGCAGAGCCCGTCAGGCGGGGCAGGGGTGCCAGCTCTTCTCACAGCCTCTCCTCTCCCAGGTGACAGTGACCAAGCCCTGTGCCCCCGTTGTCACCTTTGGCGTCAAACATTCCGACTACATGACACCCCTGGTGGTAGATGTAGAATAGCCCTGGCCCCCACCCTACCCCAGAGCCTCTGCACATCATGCTCCCACAACAGACGCCCTGGGTTGTGGGCTCAGGACACCTCCTCCACCAGCTGGGCTGTGGCCAGCCTGGCCCTGCAGGGCAGAGCATACTTGTTTGGACAGTTGTGACCAGTTATTTTTTCTATGATGCTTTCCCATTTGCTAATCTCATTTCCTGCTGTGCCCAGATATTTAATAAATCACAGATTGCATTAGTAATGAGTTTGTCTTGGCAGTAGAATCAAGCTTTCCCAGAAAGGGGCTCCTGCCTAGGTGGTTGGGTCCTATCCTGGCTTCCAGGGCCTGGGGTCTGAGCAGAGAGGGGGCTTGGGATCCCTGGACACCCTGCCATGCCCGCCCTCCTAATTCCGCCTTGGGCCCTGCACTTCACATTTCATTGTACACTCCAAGAATGGTCACACCAGCATCCATCCCCTTCCACATGGTCTTGTCCCTTTGTGACTGACTCTCCCCCATGAGGTCTGTGCCCCTCCCCTTCAATCTGGACTAGAACCTGTGACCACCCTCAGTAAGGTGATACTGCATGACCTCTGAGGCCAGGCCATACAACATACAAAGGAAACAGTTCCTTTGTGGAGCTAGGCAACCCCCTCCCTTTGCTCACTCCAACACCAGCCACCGTGGTGTGAGCTCAACACTTGGGTGAGTCCACATCAGCATCCAGGCAGTAAGCACACCAGCACCAACTGCAGGCACGTGACCAAGCCTTCAGGGGTCAGCAGCCCCAGGCTCGGGTCGGCCAGCCGAGGCACGTTCTAGGCAGAGTGCCGTCCCCGCCATGCCGGTCTCGAATTCCAACCACACTAACCATAAGACATAAATTATTCTAATTGTGACTAAGTTTTTTAAGGTGATCTGTTAACAGCAAAGGCAACACAGGAAGCACAAGGACGTGGGCCAGGAAGGGGGCATCTGAGTAAGGCCAAAGACAGGCATTTCCAGAGGCTGCCTGGAGTCCAAGGCCAGGCCTTGAAGAGTGGAGTGTGGATTTCATCGCAGCCCTGGGGAAAGGTTGCTGTGAAGCCCGCAGGGTGGGTGGCCCCAAGGGTCATCCCTGTGAGCCCACCAGCTGTAGCAGTACGAAGTATACTATGGCCGCTGACCCTCACTCAGCTGGGACCACGAGGTTGTGTTCTGAGTACCTCACGTCTATTCATTTAACCCTTAGTGGTGGTTATAGAAACTTGACAGAAACCACCCGCTGGGGGTAGGAGAAGAAGTGAGGAAGGGTGCAGGGACATGATAGAACCAGAGAGGGAAGGAAGTAGGGTCCAGACCACCAGCATCCATGGCCAGTCTGTGGACCAGGGTCAGCTCCAGATGAAACCCTCAAGCACCCAAGAAAATGAGGACACCAAAGATTGTTAACTTCGTCATGAAGCTGTTTATTCCACATCTTTATTGCTAAATGCCTTGTTCTTGAATTGTGGGATAAAGCTTGGCAGAATGTCCTCACTTGGCACAGGTCGGGTCCGCAGGTCCTTTTTGTTTTAGCGGTTTCAGGGACCAATGTCAGCAAACCGCACTTACGCACAGGGGTAGGTGCTGAGCGCCCGAGGCGAGGCAGGAGGAGGGCAAAGGCTCTGACAGGTCGGCAGCAGAGCTGACACGCCCCCATCATGGAATCCATCCCAGTGCAATGAGAAACAAAATGGTAAACCAGAAAGTAACTAAAACCCAGACCCCAAAATAGCTGGAAGGGCCACAAAGAGCTACGGAAGTGGAGGCGGGGAGGCAGAGATGGGGCCTTTAGGAGAGAACACTACAGCTTGAGGTCTCAGGGGACAGCAGAAAGCACTCATCAAGACTACCCGAAACACAGAATCTAAACCAGCCTGCATCGAATCCGTAGTGTGGTGCAGCTCCCACAACTAAGCCATGTTCTCAGGAAGAGGTCAGCACCATAGGCCCAGGGGGGACGCAGGGTGTGGGTCCATCTGCAATGCCACCAGATGGAGACACTACACAGGTCTAGTAAGCTTGGTGACCAGTGGACATGCCCCCCATCACAAGATTTAACATGAGATGGCTAACTCAAAGCCATAGTGCGTGGGGACTGGGGAGGGAGGCAGGACCACGGGGGCCTGAGAAGGAATGTCAAGGAGTCAGGGGAAACACCAAAGCCCCACGGACAGGGAGGCAGGTAAGCTGATCTCCCTGGATGAGAAACTAGCCTCTGGAGGGGTAGGGGCAAGTCAGAACAGAGCACTCAGAAGTAGGAAGGTAGGGTCCCCCTCCTCCAGGAGGCTGAGCAGCCCAGCAGGTCCAATGCGAGAAGAGTGCTATGGTGACAATGTGAGGAGGGGCCGGGCCTGCTGGACAGACAAGGGATGCAGAAGGGAGAACAGGGAACAGCAGCAGTGCTGAAGGTGAGGTGACCAGAGTCAGAGACCGGAGCAGAGGTGCGGTCAGTGTGTGAGTCACACCAGGGGCCTGCACAGCACACAGTGTGGGGCAGAGCCAACAGTCCTCTGGGAGTAAGCGGGAGTGACTGCACTGGCAGAAGACAGGAACAAGGGTGGGGAAGGACACAGCTGACGAATCCTTTCTTACGTGTATTTATGCACAACGAGGGTGCCGACACCTCACCATGGGGTGAGAAGCCACTGACCCAGGTGGGCCTGTGCTTTGGTTTGTGTGCACATGGGGCTGGCCAAGTGGGCAGTGAGGGCCCAGGGAGAGGCGGGCACGGAGGGCAGTGTGCAGAGGCTGGGGATGAGGGGACGACTAAGAGTTCCCTTCGTGAGGGAGTACTCACTGGTGAAGGGCCTCACGTGGTGGAGGGGAAGCTGCCTGGGACCCTCAAGAAGGGACCCACGGGTCCTACGAAGAGAGTCCTTGTAGGGAAACCTCCCGTCTTGACCCATAGAAGGCGCCTCCCCAACACACACTCCGCCCTGACTCTGAAACGCCAGATGGAACTGCTTCTAGAGGTCTGGTCTCCCAGAAATACATCTTTGGTGTTGGCTAGATCTTGAATCCTGAGAAAATGGGAGTTTCTGCTCCTGGATACAAGACTGTGAGATCCAAAAGGATCAGGGCCCAATGCCTCCAGCCAAGGTTGTGGTCCACTTCTTCATCCACAATACCCTGCCCTTCCCTGAGGGTCTGGAGGGCAAGCGAGGCTGATCTGCCCATACTCAGCAGCCCTAGCCAAGGGTAGCTGCAATCTCTGGGCTGAGGAGATGGTGCTCCAACTTCACAGCCAAACCCCCTTCCGGTGTCAGCTCCAGGCACCTCAGGCATCAGACGTGACCTTACCCAGAGACATGGATAGGGCAGAGCCTTGAGACGTCAGAGCCCCAAGGGACAAGGGAAGGGCTGCGGGCCACAGGTAGCCATGTCCAGGATTTCCAGAGGCTCTGCTCACACCTGGCTCTGCCAGAGCCTTTAGTACCCAGAGTAGCACAGGGGCCTCGGCCTTGGTTTCCCCCAAGGGAAAGAGACCCTCACACACATGGGACCAGCCAATATGAGCTCACTCGATCAGAGGCAGCCATGAACGCGTCAGAGAGGAAGAAAATCCCTAAGCCACGATCATCATTTCAAAGGAGTATTTTGCAGGTAGGTCCTCTGGAGCCTAGGACACCAGGCAGGGGAAGACCCAGGTTGCCCCAGGCACCCACAGAAGTCAGCTCCTAGTGGCTCATGTCCTTGCCCTTGACAGGAGATAGGAGAGAATGAAAAAGGCCACGATCAGGCCCACGGCCATACCACAGAGAAGCTTCCGGTTGTCTCGCCCAGACCGTGCCATTGTGGAAAAGCGCTTCACGCTCCCCGTGAGCAGGCCTGTCATGCTTGTGAAATCCGAGTCCTGAGGGAGGAATCCCAGCAAGGTCACACAGGGGCAGCACCTCCACGACTGCCACGCAGGCACCACAAGCAACACTGGGGGCACAACAGTGTGGGGCAGAGCTGACCGCGATGCCCGCGCATACTGCAGACCCTTACCATGCTGTCCAGGTAGCGGTTCTGGTCTTCTGCGTCCCTATCGATGTCCAGGGCCAGCTGGTCAGGACACAGAAGGGGCAAGGTCAAGCCAGAGAGAACACACTGGATGGCAATTGACCCCCCAGGAGACCAGCAGACCCTGCCAACAACTCTGCCAGGCATAGTGCCACCAGCAGAGATCAGGAGATCCAGGTGTCACCTGGGCCTCACACAGATGAGTGCTGCCATGGATGAGACAAGGAAGATGGGAACAACGTGACACCCTTCCCAGGCTCTAACCTCCCTCTGGTCCCCACTCCAGAGTGCCAGGTAGAGATGAAGGAAGGACCACCACTGACCGATTTGAGCCTGGTGACCTTGGAAGCCAAGCTGTCGGCCATCCGCTTATTCTCCCGGTCTAGAATCTCCTCCACAGCGGCGGGGCTCTGAGCTGTGAGAAGGGAGAGTCTGAGGGGGCGCATCTACCTGTGAGCACTGCCCTTGATCCCTGAACATCAGCCGTTTGTGGCCTCAGGGCTCTCACTCCAATTCTTTCCGGACAAGCTGGAAGTCTCAGGGAACTGGGCTCACGTCGGTTAAGCAGGTCCAACCCTAAGCCAAGGTCAGCTGCAGGGACTTCACACATGACAGCCAGCCTGTGTGAGCACTTGCCCTGTGAACATACCCCAGCCAGAACGGACAGGCACCCCAGAGCACGATGCATGCCGAGAACTGACACGTGACTAGCACCAGGCCAGGTGATTCCGCATTTCTGTGACACCAGGTGGGTCAGAAACACCTCCCCCCAAGTTCCGGAGTGCGAGTCTGCCGCGGGCCGGACGCCTCAACGGGACGGATCCGGGGGACAGCCCTACGAATCACCGATGTGCACACACCCCAAAGAAGGGATGTTAACATCCTACCAACCACTTCACGTTCGTTCATTCCTTAAGTCACAAGAGCCCAGCGACACCGGCATCAGCATCCCACTTCCCGGGTGAGAACAGGGGCTCTCAGAGGACGTAAAGCTCCTTCCCCCAGCGCTAGCTTCCGGGACCTGTGAACCCGCCGGAGGCCCCAGGCAGAACGACCTCGGAGGGCCCCCGCGACCCCTCCCCGGCGCGGGCAGCCCGGCTCCGCCCGCCGGCAGCGTCTCCTGCGGGCAGCCCCGTCGGTGACGGCCGGCCGCGCCGCCACCCGGCTCGCTCCCTCGCGCTCACCCCGAGCCCAGTCCGCCATCGCGCCCGGCCCCGACCCCGGCCCCGGCCCCGGCCTCGGTCAGCCGCGCGGCCACAGCCTCGCCGGACGTGGCGCAGTCGCAAGGAAGACCCCGCTGACCCCGCCTCTTCCGCTCGGGCCCGCCGACTTCCGGCCAAGGTCCGTTTCACATCCGGATGGGGGAGGGGGCGGGCCGTTAGGGCTTTCCCTGCCAATGACCGCAAGGACAGACACTTCTAGCGGCCAATCGCGCCGAAGGCGGGGTCAGGTCCTACCTGGGGAGCGCTCCCAGGCCCTTCCTCCCGCGAGAGAGGCTGGAAGGGGGCGCGACGGGCCCTCCACCCCGCCAGGCTGCGGTGCGAATGTAGGCCCCAGTTACTGCTTGTGGGACGAGGTGGAGACCAGCGCCCGGAACGGGCGAGCGCTGCAGAAGATGCAGGGGTGAAGCATTCTGAAGGAAAACGTGGCCAGAACGAGGGGTGGAAGTGTGGGGGTAGCAGGGACAGTAGGAGGAGCCAGTGCTTCTTGCCGTTGCAGCTGGGCACTGGGAATGGGAGGGGACGTTCAACAAAGGCTTGATGCACAGTGGATACCAAGCCAGCGTACTGGAGCACTTGCTGCGTGTCGTTTAGTCCTCCCGACAACACACTGAAACGGGAACGTGCATCACCTCTGCCTTTCAGACGGGAAACTTAGTCCAGGCCACTCTGCATCTGGGTCACACACGATCAGGCTTTGACTTCATCCTGACCCCTCCCCACTCTCCCCTTTCTTTAAGCTCCGAGGATGTCTGTTTTCTCCCACCGCGGCCGTTCCCATCTTTGCACTGGCCGCTCCTTTTGCTTTGAACGACCTTCCCCCAGGTCACTTTTGACCGTCCGGTCTCAGCAAAAATGGCACTTCCTCAGATCCCTCTGCAGCCCACCAGGCCCCTTTTCTAATCACAGCGCTATGACTGCCTCAAGCCGTCTTATTTGTCCGTTTTTCCCTGTCTTCACTTTTGGAACACAAGCTCTACGGAAGCAGGGACCTAGCATTCAATAGGCACTCAAACCCCTGTTGAACACACCAAGTAGTCCCGGGGCTGCAAAGTCCTTTCCACCTCGGCTTTCCCCTCGGCTTCCACTTGTTCTGTGCATCAAGAGGGGCGTGGGTGGGAGACTTGGTGGGGTGGGCTAAGGCCCTCGCCTGCTGGGGATTCCAGCCCAAGAAGCAGAGGTCCCTATTAGGTTCGGAGGCGACTCGACCCCGAAGTCGAACAATCACCTAGTAGGACCTTTGAAATCCCCGCCGACTCCCGGGCAAAACCTTCAAGCTCCAGTCAGCCGACCCAGGTCTGGCCACCTTAAGGAGCCGGCGGCCCTGGCCCCGCCCCGCGGCGCGGCGCACACAGTCCCCGCCTCCGCCGCACGCAGCCCTGGCCCCGCCCCGCGACGCAGCGCCCTCTGTCCCGGCCTCTCCAGCGCGCAGCCCTGGCCCCGCGGCGCGGAGCGGCGCCCACAGTCCCGGCTTCCCCGGCGCCAGCCCCGGCCCCGCCCCCGCCCCCGCCCCGCGGCGCGGCGCGGCGCACCCAGTCCCGGCTTCCCCAGCGCGCCGACGCAGGGCGGAGCGGCTGGACTCCGCCCGGAGCCGGGAAGCGAAGCCCCTCCCGCCTGCTCGGCGCGGGAGCCCGGGGGCGTCATGGAGCCCCGGGTGGTTGCGGATGCTGTGGAGGCGGGAGAGGAGGACGTGATTATGGAGGCTCTGCGCACGTACAACCGGGAGGTGAGCGAGAGCCGTGAACGTGGTACATGCACGGAAGAGGTGGGGCAGGGTGGGGGGCGCGTTGTGGCGGGTCCTGAGATTGTGTGTGCGGCAGGGGGCCTGCGGGCGGTGCGAGCGCAGCGGGAGGGGCGCCGAGTCCGTGAGGCGTTGCTCGGGGGGAGAGTCTGCGTGCACACACTCAGGAGCGGGGGTGGAGCGCCATCTGTTCAGAGGGGCCCTGTGGACTCGGGACCCCACCCACGGAGCCCCCTTAGCCTCTGGGTCTCTCTGCAGAACTCCCAGAGCTTCACGTTTGATGATGCCCAACAGGAGGACAGGAAGGTGGGTGCTGACCGAGGGGTAAAGGGGCAGGCATGGGTGGCCCCGGGCAAGGGGGCCTGGTGGAGCCGCTCTTCTCCCTGCCCACAGAGACTGGCGGAGCTGCTGGTCTCGGTCCTGGAGCAGGGCTTGCCACCCTCCCGCCGCGTCACCTGGCTGCAGAGCATCCGCATCCTGTCCAGGGACCGCAGCTGCCTGGACCCTTTCACCGGCCGCCAGAGCCTGCAGGCACTTGCCCGCTATGCTGGCATCGCCTTCGAGCAGTCGGCCCCGGAGCCTCTGGACATGGACGTTGTACTCGAGTCCCTTAAGTGCCTGTGCAACCTCGTGCTCAGCAGCCCGGTGGCACAGGTGCTGGCAGCAGAGGCCCGCCTGGTGGTGAGGCTCGCAGAGCGCGTGGGGCTATATCACAAGAGCAGCTTCCCACACGACATCCAGTTCTTTGACTTGCGCCTCCTCTTCTTGCTAACGGCACTTCGCACCGACGTGCGCCAGCAGCTGTTTCAGGAATTGCGGGGAGTGCACCTGCTGACTGATGCGCTGGAGCTGACACTGGGAATGACCCCCGAAGAGAACCCGCCTGAGCTTCTTCCTCCCCAGGAGACTGAGCGGGCCATGGAGATCCTCAAAGTGCTCTTCAACATCACCTTTGATTCCATCAAGAGAGAGGTGGACGAGGTGAGGACTGACCTGAGCCCACGGGTAGGGCTTAACGGTGTGGATGTTTCCTGCATCTGTCTGCCTGTAGGGTACCTGCAAGTTTCTGGGTATGAGATGGGGAGAGGACAGGCAGAGCTCTCAGCCTATCAGGAGGAGGCAAGGAGATGCACATTTTGGGCAGGGGGCCTCAAAGAATGTTTCTAAGAGAGGTGGAGGCCATATCTGGCTCTTGCAGCCTGGCGGGAGGACTGTTTGGTGCATGGGGAGGCCGTGAGCATGGGGCTAGAGGACACTGTGACTTCATCCCAAGAGGACCTGGTGACGTTCTTGGTCAAGGAAATGCTCTCAAGGGTTTGTAGGAGAGGCTAGGGGGCTAGGTGTGGAGGCAGTGGAGGAGATGCGTGGTCCATGCACATGATCCCGGAGTGGGGCTTCCTCTCACAGGGATCCCTTTCTTTTTGGTCAGGAAGATGCTTCCCTTTATCGGCACCTGGGGACCATCCTGCGGCACTGTGTGATGGTTGCTGCTGCTGGAGACCGCACAGAGGAGTTCCACGGGTGAGGGTGGGGCCTGTTAGGTGGAAGGGAAGTGTGCTCAGTTGTCTGGAGAGTGGTTCCCAGCCCTGGCTGTGGGCTAGGCTCCACCCTAGAGAGTCCTCACTTATCTAGGTGGGACTAGACATCAGTGTGTTTCTACGGTACGTCAGTACGTGGCTAGGACAAGAGGTATGGATCTGAGAATGGGAATGTCTCTCCAACTGGGGTAGTAACGAATAATGTGGTGTTTACAGGGTGAGGTGCTTACTCATCTCTGTCTCAGTGACCTGTGCCTGGGCACGTTCTGGTTTTCCAGAGATTGTGGTGGTTCAACCCAGACAGAGCCTGGCAGGGAGGGCATCTGCAGACAGTGCCCCCGTCCTTAGGAACTCACCCCATTAAGTGGAAACACCTCCAAGGTCGGTCCCACCCTCAGCTCTGGCCTCTGGTTCCTGTCGTCAAGCCCCCAGACACTAGTTCATGTCATGTGTGGCCTCGGCAGAGGACACCAAGGGTTGTACCTATGTTAGGGGATCCGACTTATCAAGCCCTCCTCCCCATCTATTCTCAGCCACACTGTGAACCTCCTGGGGAACTTGCCCCTCAAGTGTCTGGACGTTCTCCTTACCCTGGAGCCACGCAAAGGCTCCTTGGAGTTCCTTGGAGCGAACATGGATGTGATTCATGTCCTTCTCAGCTTCCTGGAGAAGCGTCTGCACCAGGTGGGCAGAGGGACCTGACGTGTGGGCTCCTCAGTGGCTCTGACTTTCCCAAGCAGCCGTGGTCACTGCTTTTTTACAGTCCACACTGGTAAGTGGACATCAGCCTGGAAGTGTGATTCGGGCGATTTCTCCAGCTGCTCTGTGGTCCAGCTTGCAGAAAACCAGACTCCTCCCTGAGAAACATGTGCATCCTCTCACACACACACTTGAAGGTTTTACTTTTGCTGGTTACCATAAGGCGTTTTCAAAGTCAAACAAAGAACTGACTTTTCAGAGCTCTTTGGGGATCTGTCTTGAGTCCGTGCTTGTGTCTTTAGACTCTTAGTGTTGCTGTGTACACGCAGCCCTTGGGAACGAGCATCAGTTGTCTCTTGGCGCCCCTGAGGGGACCCACAGGCATCTTGAGCCAGAGGCTACCTGATTCCTGTGCCTGCACACAGGACATTGGCGGGCCAGCCCTCTAACGGCTCCTCTGGGAGCTCGCAGGCATCACGCAGGCTGCAGATCGGAGTGGAGTGAGATTAGGTGGACCCCTTGGGAATCCACATTGCTCACGTACGCTGTGAGCTGGGTCTCCTGCGTTGGACATCATATCTGCGATTGTCTGCCCTTACCACTACTGCCGCTAGGGTTGGGGTCCTGGGAGGTAAGTGGGGGGAGGCCAGGGAAGAAAAGGAGCTCTTTGCTCTCTGGGTCCGTGAAGCCCACAGAGTAGGGATTTTTCTTGTGTTTTGGCCACTATTTTTGGAGAACAGGTCACGTACTCTTGGTGTGCTAATGGCTATGAACACCCTGTATTTTCCCCACGACTTTGGTATATAGGTGAGGAAGTCAGAGTAGATGAGTTATTTGCCCCACGTCGCAGAGCACACGCGAACCCTCCTAAGTTAAGTTCCTTCTGCGGCCCTCTTGAAGCTCACACAGACACCCACTGCCCACTCTTGGCCCCTCAGCTGACTAACTGTGGCAAGGCTTCTTCCTGAGAGCCTCCTACCAGGACCAGACCATCTGGTGTGTGTGTGTAGGCCGCCCTCCACCCCACCCCCAATCTCAGGTCAGGTGGAGGCACAGCCCCGGTGACAGAGGCTCTTCTGCAGACGCACAGGCTGAAAGAGAGCGTGGCCCCCGTGCTGAGCGTGCTGACAGAGTGTGCCCGCATGCACCGCCCTGCCAGGAAGTTCCTGAAGTCCCAGGTATGGGGCAGAGGGGCTGGGGTAGGGCCCTGGTCACAGACCCCAGCCACTTCAGGCCCAGGCTGAGGGACGGCTGCCTCCACAGGTGCTGCCCCCACTGCGGGACGTGAGGACCCGGCCCGAGGTTGGGGAGTTGTTGCGGAACAAGCTCGTTCGCCTCATGACACACCTGGACACTGATGTGAAGAGAGTGGCCGCTGAGTTCCTTTTTGTCCTGTGCTCTGAGAATGGTGAGTGCTGGGATCCAGCCCCACGCCTGTCCCTCCCAGCCACCTTCGCACACTGACCTCTGCCCTGCCCCTCAGTGCCCCGATTCATCAAGTACACGGGCTACGGGAATGCCGCCGGCCTTCTGGCTGCCAGGGGCCTCATGGCGGGGAGCCGGCCTGAAGGCCAGTATTCGGAGGACGAGGACACGGACACAGATGAGTACAAGGAAGCCAAGGCCAGGTGTGTGCCCCTGCACCCTCGGCTCCCCTCACTCAGCCTGGTCCCTGGTCCCTGGTCCCACACCCATATGGACCCTCGGGGTGGGTGGGACAGGACGATAGATGGGTAGGACTTTGGGAGTCGGGCACTGGTCCCATAAGCGATATATCCTGATGTCAGGGTGTTTTTTTGAGAACATGGACTGAAGGGAGCCAGGCAGTTGGGGGACCAGGAGATCCAGGTGGCAGGAGCTGGTTCACTGCTGCTCCTGGAGGGAGGCCTCCTGCAGCGGCCCTGCTTCATGCCACCCCCCCCCCCCCCGGAGAGTGGGTTTGTCAGGCCAGGCCCAGGCAGGACGTGTGGGACTCCACCCACCGCGTGCAGCGGCCTCCTGTCCTAGAGAGTCACTAATGCATCCCCTACACCCTCCCCTGGGAAGCAGCATAAACCCAGTGACCGGGAGGGTGGAGGAAAAGCCGCCCAACCCCACGGAGGGCATGACGGAGGAGCAGAAAGAGCATGAGGCCATGAAGCTGGTGAACATGTTTGACAAGCTCTCCAGGTACGTGGCATGGCAAGGAGGGGCCCACGGCTGGGAGAAGGGAGGACAGGACCCCCGGCCTGTGTGCAGTCTTGTGAGCCCCAGGAGGTGAGGTCAGAGCTAGGCTTAGGCCAGGCTGCATTCCTAAGGTTTGAAACAAAGGAAACGCCCCAGGAAGGGATTAGACTTGAGATTGGTATTATGTTTGTTGTGTAGACGACGCAAATCGAGATCTAGAGAAATTAAGAGTCTGCACAACGTCCCAGAGCCACCAGATAGCAGTTGGGATTCCCCAGGAAACAGGAACAACTTAGTGGAGCACAAGGAAGTAGTCAGGGTTGAACAGGACTTCTGCCCCCCCCCCCCCCCCCCCCCCCCCCGCCGCCCCCCGGTCAGGCCCCTTCCCCAGCCGCACCATGCTTTTCCCTCACAGGCACAGAGTCATCCAGCCCATGGGGATGAGTCCCCGGGGTCAGCTGACATCCCTGCAGGATGCCATTTGTGAGACCATGGAGGGGCAGCTCTCCTCGGAACCCGACTCAGACCCCGACTGAGGACAGCAGTCTTCTGTTCCCCCTTCAGAACTGGTGCTGCTTCCAGAGATGTCCTTGGGACTGTGACCCGGGGAAGCCATGTCCCTCTCTCCAGCTCAGAGACCCCTTTTCTCTTTACTTCCAAAGTTCTGTTAATGATTTGTCTCTGGTCCAATTTCTTATTTTTAGGACTGTGAGGGCCTTGTCCTGCTGCAGCTCTGGGAACTCAGCCTTGATTTCCACAGATGAAATAGTTCTCATGTGTGTGCCAAGAGGATGTATGCAGAGGCTGATGCCTGGGGCAGAGGCTGAGCGCGGGCACACACAAGCATTTTCTAGGTCTGGCATGCATGCCCAGAGCTTCCATGTCAAGCAAGCGCTGCAGTTCACGGGAAAAGAACCTGTTAGAACTGTGTATACTAGTGTCAGAAACATACTTCCAAGGTATGCTGTGCTGTTTCTGTCCCCACTGAGCTCAGGACTGATAGCCTCGTACGCCTCCTTGGTCCTCGCTAAGCTGTCTGCTGTAGTATCCACAGCACCCAAGCTCTCACTGGTTGTGACGGTGGAATCCTGATCATAAATATATGAAGGGAAGTGCACCTCTTAAAGCCCTAAGTCTGGATTTCTGTCACATGCCACAAAGCATCACAAAAACATCATCTTGGAATAAAGAGTTTGAAGCAAAAGCGTGTGTATGGGGGATTAATTTCATTCTTTTCAAAATTCGGCCCTTTTCCTAAATCATTAGTCATGTCTTCTGTTCTTGAGGAGGCCCCTCTGAGGAGTCTGTTAATTGTGCCACGGGTGGGGAAACAATGCCTGGAAGGAGGGACCACCCACGGTAGGAGCCAGGGATCAGGAAGGTGTGCCTGGGTGGTGCTGTCCAAGCTGGGCCTTGGAGCAACCCCAGCAGGACGGGCCTGTGCAGGCATGGGAAGTGTATGGGTTGAGTACAGGGTGGGCCAGAGGCCAGCCAAGGTTTCTAAATGAGTAATGCCTTCCACAACATAGAGGTTAATCCTGGGGGCATTACTGGGAAGGCCTGTAGGGGGAGAGTGGGGACGGGGCTGGTTAGAGAGCTGCCCAAGCAGAGGACTTTCTGGGGGAGAGGTTGAGGCGAGAGGCATCAAGGGTAGAGTGAAAAGGGCATGATGCCCTTCAGTGAGGGGTGCTGGGGCTCCGTGGGAAACGGCACTAGGCCCCTCTCCAGGGTGAATCCAGGGGCATGTTCTCCATCCTTAGGTTATTCCAGTGGGGGGAATGTCCAAGCACATCCAAGGTCCCCTTCCCACATTCATTGTCAACATGCACATTGCCTTTGAGGAGATCAAAGAGTTTATTTCATGCCAGAAATGAAGAACAAAGTTTCTCTAATTAAAAATAACCCTACTAAGGAGGCCAACATGCTATAGGACCCTATCCTATTACGTGGGACCCAGGACCATGCCTTGGGAGTGGCTGTGGCCACTCCGCCCAAGACGGTTTTTCTAACAGACAGATGCTGAGCCTGCCCTTCAGATGGAGACCCAGACACAGAGCAGATCCAGTCTGGGCTTCCTGTTGGTCTGCTGGAGTTCCAGAGGGTCACTGTCAGGAGAAAGCTTTTGTTTGGCATCAAGAGCTTCAGCAGACTGAAGAGTCAAACAGCAGAAAGGCGCTGGGCAGCTTGGTGCCCGTGACTGGGATGGCCTGCAGCGTAAGCATGACGTGACCCGTCGGCACAGAACTCAGGGCCCAGGCAGCCTCACACTCTTCCTCAGGCCACAGGTTCTGGTTCAGCCAAAACTTTTCTCAGAGGTGGGCAGTGACTCCTTGGAACCGTTTCTGGTCCGGGGATGGGGGGGAGGTTGCGGGGGGAAGCAGCCATCACTCTATCTGTCCCGTCTGTCAAGCTGGAACACGGAGGAGAAAGGCAATCAGTCCCACAGATCTTAGGGCCTGGGTTCAAACTATTTCATTAAACAAAAGCTTTTCTGCTTCTGCAGATGCTGCTGTTGAGCCAAAGTAACATGATGCCCAGCAGGACTGGGCAAAACTGGGTGGCTAACCAGAAAGCTTCATTTAAGTAACCAGGTGAGATGTACTGAAGCTCACATGCTCAAAAATAGGCACTATTTGGGAAAGTAACCCCAAGCTGGACTGCAGCTTATCCCTCAATATTTACTCTTGGATAGCAACTTTTTATTATATATATAAACCCCTAAAACCAGAACCCACTTTATATAAATTTCTGTCAGACTGTAAAATCACACAGGTCAAATCCTGTAGGACTACTTCCAAAAATTCCTGGGGGTCACATGACTCAGTCTTGTTGTATGGAAACAGGACATCAGGGCCAGGAAGCTGCCAGGCGGATCTGACCAAGGCCCCTGGTGCAAAGTATAGGCTTGGGCGCTACCTGCCTTCTCTACTTCCATAAAATGACCCAGCAACATAACTTTGACATTTATATGAGTTAAGGAGTGATACCAGCCTACATCTTAGCCATTAGAGCTAAACTCTGGAACGGACAGCTAGAAAAAACTGGCCACAATGTCTAACATGTGGAAACAGTAAGCACGAAGCCTCCTGGCCTTACTAATAGGCCTCGTATTCTTCTTTCTTTAGTTCACCTTGGTAAGAAACCAGGCTACAGCCAGAGGCTGGGGGCTTTGGCCAGTGGAGGTGAGGGGAAAGGCCCACCCCACGGTCCTGAGCCCTGAGGGACTCACAGCCAAAGGGCGAGGCCTTCCCGAGACCTCTGCCCCATCCCCTTTGGGCAGTGTCACATAATGACCCTCTTTGAGATGACTGGACTTCAAATGCTTAATGCCACCTCCTTTAGAAAATAACCACTCACACCAGGGCCACCCATGCTGATTCTTACGGGAAACTTCACTTGGGAACAGGTTTGAAACCTCGAGAGCACCAAGGGTCTTTGGCTTTCTACCTCAGCAGATTGTCATAGGCCAACGGCACTCGTGCTGATCATCTCCTAAAAGCATCCCCAGGTTGGGCTTCATCCCACACCAGCAGCACACAGAAGTTCAGCTCCTCAAAGTTCATCTCAGAACCACACCTTAGCCTGGAGCTGTTTGTGCTGCTTTCTTTAGGGGACGAAAGGCAAGGCTTCAGTGAGAGCAGCCCAGTCGGCCTGGACCCAGTCACAGCTCTACGTCTAGAGAGCAGGCACCTGGAGTCCCTGTCTTCCATCTCCCACATGGAGATAATGTGAGTCACAACGCCTGATTCATAAGCACACAGAAGGCCCTAGACAGTGGCGGCACAGGATTAACAGCCAATATTAGCTACTTTTGTCACTTTTCAGCCAGCCAGGACTCCACATCAGGTGGACCCAGACCCCAGAGCAGTGAGGAAGACAGCCTTTCAGAGGACCCTGCTTGACAGTCTATACCTTTTCCGTTTCCTGCTGGATGAGGTCCTGCAACTCTTCTGTCCAGCCCAGAAGCTCCACCAGCCTCTCCACGCCGTGAACCACATCCCCCAGCTGGACCACATCCCTGCTGCGAGGATGCCACGCAAAGGGCCCCACCAAGTCCCGGTTGATGAGCAGTCGGGGCACTGAGCTCTGCACGGCCTCAGACAAGCTGGCAAAAGGTTCTACCTGAAAAATTGCCCAGATGTGAGGAGCACAGTGCCCACCCTCCAAGCCCCTCAGGACACTTCATGCCACAGCCTGAGACTGAAAGGGCAGCTCAGACTGATGGTGAGGCCTTGGACACAGGGAGAACCCACTGATGGTGAGGCCTTGGACACAGGGAGAACCCACTGATGGTGAGGCCTTGGACACAGGGAGAACCCACTGATGGTGAGCCCTTGGACACAGGGAGAACCCACCGCTATTTCATTTCTTCCAGTCATGCGGTCTGCTCGGTCTCAATGCCTGGGTTCCTCCCTTCCTGAGCCTCCCTCTGGTCCACATCTTTCTGCTTCCTGCACGTCTTGGCTTCTGCAGGTCTCCCCGCCCAGGTGCATCTGGGCTCCAGCAACTGTGCCCACTCTTACTTGTCCTGCCCCATCACACACCGTCCCCTCCCAGCAGCATCTCGCCCGTCTGCTCTCGCTCCCTGGGAGAAAGGGCCTGGGCCCACAGAGGGCTCCTGGGCTGCCCACAGGGGTGGAGGCCCCACCTCTCCACAGTCTCCACCATCCAGACCTCCAGGGAGTCCTAACTCGGTGCCTTTGGGCTTCTTCATCCAGCTCCCAAGTGAAATTTCCATTCAGGAGTAATAATATAAGAAATAGATTAATAAATGGTACTTAGACTGGCTCATTATCTGGTAGGAAAATACTCAATTCCTGCTCTCGCTGAAAAAATTTCAAATGTACACAAAACAGTTCTTGAGGAAAATTTAGGTTTCACAAGTAAAGGTAGGGAAGGACTTTTTAGGCCTGATAAGTCAGATAAGACAAAGGAAAGTCATGATAGGTTTGAATACATAATGCTATCACATTATTATCTATAAAAATATGCTGTAGAAAAATTATTTTTTAAACCTCATTACCATAAACTGCAAACATATTTACATGTTTCAGTTTATATTTCTAATTGCTAAGCTAATTTATAAACGCTTTATATAATTTATGGATTTATATTGCTAATTTATAAATAGACTAAGAAAATAACCCAATGAAAAATGAGCAAGATATAAATATGTAATCCAAAGAGAACACAATGGTTAATAAACATGAAAAGGTGAACTTCACTCTTTATTACAGAAATGTTAGATCCCCTTCTCCTCTCTTTCTCTTTCTCTCTCACACACACATTTATTTCTAACCAATCAGATGGATAAAAACCTAAAGACAGGTAAAAAAAAAAAAAACTTAAAGACAGGTAATGTTTGGTGTTGGTGAGGAAATGGCCACTCATACAGGGTTGGTGGTAGTGTATTAGTATATCTTTCTGGGAAGTAACTTCTCAATATTTATTGAAGTACTCACATGAATGTGCAAACATGTATACACATGATTATTCACTACACCATTATTCTGAATATAAAATCTATATACTATTTATTTTTGTTGCCCATCAATAGAAAGTTGCTTAAATAAATTGTTGTACATCGTCATCCTAAAACTCTTGGGGCTGGGTGTGTTCCAGAATTCAGAATATTTCAGATTTTAGAAAACATCCTATGGTTGGATGTTCAACCTATGGTTGGATCCCTCAGTGGGATCCGAAGGGGTGATCCATAACCAAGTGCATTAATATTTCTCCCACACAGCATTATGAGGTAAAGTCCGAGCAACACCACAGATTACTCAGTGCTTATAGACAAGCACTGTGCTTTGGAGGTCCCGGCAGGGACCGAGTATCCATGTTTGTCAGGGAGACTGTGGGCGCTAACCAGGTAGGTCCCTGTGCACAGTGCTTCCCAGCTCTGGTGGAAGATCACCACATCTGTGCAGCCTGTGAGGACACAGCAAAACACTTGAAGGGATTCTTTACTTCACTCTCTTCTTTATATAATGTGTGAGCATATGGTACTTCTATAATCAGATAAAAAGGCTATTTTCATTTCACTTTAAAGAAATAAAGAGGACTGGTGGCCCCAGTGTCCACTGCTGGTGGCTGGCACAGGGCAGCTGCCAGACTCCACACCACTCACTGCTGACCACCACGGCCCCCTGACCCCTCTGCCCACCCCCACCACACAACATCTACCCTTCCTTCCAGGCCCAGTGTGGGCATCACAGGTCTGTCCACATTCTGGGCCCTTCTGTCTGCTCACTCTGGCACCCCAGGTCCCACCCCTGCTCCTGCCTGGACTCCAGATGCGGGAATCCACCTGCCTGTGCCATGCATCCACTGGACAGCCTGAAACAGCACTCGAATCAGTGTCTCTGGGGCCGAGTTCCCCCAACGTGCCCACTAGGCTTCTCGGTCTCAGGAAACCAGCTCCCTCTTTGCAGCCACTCAGGGCACAACCCCGGGGCCCTGCAGGAGTCCACACTCTCCCACCCACCGTCCCTTCACACACCTGGGCTCCGACGCCCTCTGCGGTGTTACCTGGCCACCCGCCATCGCCACCTGGACTGCCACCTGCAGGGTCTCTACCAGCTCTCCCCACCACAACACACGCGGGGTCAGGAGGTCAGACCTTGTCACTGCTGCCCTCTGCTCACTTACTCCATGTGGCCACAGGCCACTGTGCAGTGTCCTCTGCCACACACCCTCAGCTGACACGTGTCACCTTCCCGACACGGCCACACAAACCAACAAGCTGAGATCACAACCAGTTCACAACCCTTCCCAGGCTTCCTGTCCCACTTGTTATTTCTCCCCTATTGTGCCATCACCTAACACTGTGTCACTTGCTTACAACATCCGACTGTGTCTGTCCAAAGCCCTAGAACAGGGCCCGGCACACAGGAGGCACATTTGCTGAATAAACACACTTAACTCTAGGCCTCTGTGGCTGACAGAGGCTCTGAGCACAGGCCTTTCTGGCCCTTCTGCCCCTTGGTGCCTACATCCAAGCAGAGCTCATTGCAGGGGCTCATTTGTTGCTCTTGTCACATCCTTTACAAAGTTCCTGAGCTTCAGGTCCAGATGGAGAACAGATTCTGGAATGTGTCCATGGGTGTGTCCCAGGCACCTCAAACACACGTGTAGATGTGAGCTTGGCAACCTCCCTCTAAATACCTCCTAACCAACAAATGGCCTGAGTGCCCACAGACAGAGCCAGGCCACTCCCTCTCCCGTCCCCAAGTCCCTCTCCTTGCCCTCTCTCATAGTCACATGGTCTGACAGTGCCCACGGCCCTGCCTTCATGAGGACCAGCCTCCTGGACATCTTGCTTCAATCCCCACTCCCCAACAGTCTCTGTGACCCCGAGGAGTACCAGCAATGTCCCTGGTTCAACCCCTTCAAGTCCATCACTTCTTCTAGCACAAAATCGGCCTCTGTGATGTGGCCTGGGAAGTCTGTCCCGCCCCACCTCTCCATGCCCCTCCCTGCTCCCTCCCCTCACACACTGTGCCCTACCCACATCCACAGCGCCTCCAAAGCTGAGCATCCTCCCTCTTCCCCATTCTGCCCAGACTGTCGCTCCCTAGGCCAGGAATACCTCTGCTTCCTCACCAGTTGAACCTACTCGTCTTCCGAACATAGGATGCCAGAAGGCTCCGAGAGCACCTGGTGCCACCCCCACCAGCCCCACCTCCTCGGCCCTGTCCTTCCAGCCTCCCCCCACCACACACACACCACACACACACACACACACACACACACACACACGCACACTTCAGTCTACCACTGGACCTGCTGACAAACCTCCAGGGAGGTCCCGAGGATGAGCAGCAGATCTGCCATGGGGAAATCAACCACATGCATCAGGAATCTCTGGGGAAGTGCCTCCCCAAAGAAGACGATGTCGGGCTTCACAACGCCAGTGCAGACTGGGCAGCGGGGGATCCTGTCCACTGCCACGTCAGCCTGTATAACACAGATAGAAAGTGGGCCAAGGGTGATGTCACAACACACTCTAAACATGGCTCTTAATATTGGGGGGATAAGAGAAAAACAGAGAGAGGCAAACCAAGAACTACGGAGAACAAACTTACGGCTACTAGAGTGGAGGGTGTGGGGGGACAGGGGATGGGGACTGAGGACCACACTTGCTGTGATGAGCACCAGGCGACATATGGAAGTGTGGGTCACTAAATTGTACACCTGAAACTAATATAACACTGTATGTTTCCTGACTGAGATTTAAGTAAAAACTTAAAAAAAAAAAAAAGATTGCTCTTACTAAGAAATTTTCATTCACAACAACTGAATAATGAACCCAGCTTTGGCATTTATTGACATTTTGCCGATTTTGTCTCATATAGCACCCTACAACTGGAGTACTTGAGAGCGGACCCTGAAGAGCACATGTTATCTAGCACATGTAACACCATGCTGTGCACCTGGGGTGGTTCTCAGAGACATTCAGATGCTAAGGAAATACTCAGGAGATGACACAGTCCTCAGGAGGTACTCTGTAGGCATTTGGCCTACACTAGGCGTAATTCAATGAGAAAAGTAGTATAAAATTTGTCCCTGATTTTAGCTGAAGTGATCACGATGTGGCCTTAGCCCTGGAAGACATTCAGGCTGAAGTTATAAGTAGCACTACCACAGACCGCTTCCTTGCAGGCCAAGGTGAGGTAGACACAAATCATTCTTACGCCCTAAGATGCCTGTGTCAATGTGCTTGGCTGGGTTTCAAAGGAGGGAGCCTAAGAAAGAGGACACCATTTTCTAAGACAAACCCTCCTGGCCTCGTTTTAGCAAGCTGAGCCCGGCCAGAACCAGCAGAGACAATGGACCCAAGAGAGACTATCAAATACAGATTAAGGCCAATTTGTGTTTAGTGTTTAAAAAAAAAAAAAAAAAGACAGGTTTAAAGTATCTGATGGGGATAGAAAACTATAAAAAATAATGTAGTGGATTTGAAAAAGAACCAAAGAGAACTTCCAGTAATAAAAAGTATCAAAAATTAGGAAGGCACTTGTGATGAGCACTGGGTGTTGTATATAGGTGATGAATCACTAAATTGTACTCCTGAAACCAATACTACCCTATATATTAACTAACTAGAATTTAAATAAAAATTTGGAAGAAAAAAATGGGGCAAGCAATTCAGATCTGGAAATGAGCCTACTGTGATTGAGGTTTTGCATCTCATTAAACCTTTTCCAAACAAAAAAACAAAAAGTAACAAAAATTAGCCTTCAGTGGAAGAGCTTTATTCTGTACAACAGAATAGAAGGTTGATAAACTGGAAAACAGATCAAAAGCCATTATTCGGAACACAGCAAGGAGAAGTAAGATGGAACACACAGCAGAGCCACAGGTGGGAGCCTAAGAAGGTCTCATGGGAGTTTAAGGAGAGCTCCGAAAGGGAGGAGAGGGAGTGGGAGAAGCAATCAACATCTAAGAGGCAAGGGCCAAGGATTTTTCCAGCAATGATGAAAGATCTCAAACCACAGATTCAGAAAGCCCTACAAATTTAAAGCAGAATAAGTAAACAAAAGGAAATCCATATGGAGATAGACCACAGTAAAAGTGCAAAACTCCAAAGACAAAGAGAAAAGGTTTAAAAATATGCAGAGAACAGATAGTGACAAACTGATTCTAAAGTTTCTGTGGAAAGCAAAAGACCAGAACAAGACTGACACTACCCGACTTCAAGACTTATTATAAAAAGCTACAGGAATCAGGATGTGGCACTACTGCAGGAACAGGTGAACATATCAGCGGAACAGAACAGAGAGCCTAGAAGTAGACTCGCACAAACACAGTCAACTGATCTTTGACAAAGGAGCAAATCTCGTCTCTTCAACAAATGGTGCTGGACATTATGAAAATTAATAAAGGGAGACGTTGCTAATGTGGGATCAGGAGGTTGGAAGGGACCCTACCACTCACCATCAATCCCACGAAGAATTGTGAACTACAGACCCAACAGAAGAACCCTCAACAGGAAAGAACCATCAAGGCAGGTACCACCCTCAACAAATTGACCACCCCAGCGATTCAGCTGGCGAGACACCATCATTCCCCTGAACTGCTTCTCCAGCCCCTCCCAACTCCCTCCTCTTCATCAAATGTCCCTCTCCTTTGTTGTTTGGACTTGCCTAGTTTAGCTGTAGTTTGCTTCTCCCAAATTGCGTTTTTCTACTATTCCTGAATAAGCCCATTTTGCTGGTAAAATAACTGGCAGTTTTATTTTTCTTAATGTTTTATTTATTTATTAATGAGAGTCAGAGAGAGAGAGAGAGAGAGAGGCAGAGGCAGAGGGAGAAGCAGGCTCCCCGCCTAGAAGGGAGCCCAATGCGGGACTCGATCCCAGGACCCTGGGATCATGACCTGAGCTGAAGGCAGATGCTTAACCATCTGAGCCACCCAGGCACCCTGGCAGTTTTATTTTTAAGGAAAACATCACTTGGTGTCAGAAGGGGATGCAGGGGTACCTCCAGAGACTCTGAGGCTGGTGAGCAAACCAACAGGTGCCAGTACCCACAGACCCAGTCGGGCTTGCAGCTTTCTCTCCGACCCTGGGGTTTGAGGGTAAGTTTTCTCTGGGACTTGAGCTGCACTCTCTGTGTTTTCAGCTCTCCAGGCTTTATTCAAGACCTTTTTAAGGCTTTGTCCTTTCTCAGAGTACTCGTTTGGCCTTTGGTCTGACTCCTTTCTAGAGCCAGGCTGTTCCTACTGGAACTGTGCTGCTTTAGAAATTTTTTTCTTCCCTCTAGAGGAAAGCCTCTGGGAAATGGGATCCTAGTGATCAAAATGCTTTGAGGATGCCCCTGCCCCTACCTTCCCACACTTCTGGGACCCCAGCCTGTTCTATGTTTCAAAACTGTGGTCCCCCCTCATGTGCACTCTTAACTAAATGGACTGACTCAACCAAAAGTAATTTACAACTTCAACGGCCATTATGGGGAACTTTCCATCTCCCCAAATTTACTTTTCTCACAACTGAATCGGACAGCGATGGCTCTAAAATTGTCAAAACTGAATTGGATGCTTATTTTAATTGGTACCTTGAGCCTTCCAAACATTTTTTAGGATTCAAAGGTTGTTCGCCTCTTCGGTTCATTTGCTAATTTAGAAATAGTATTTTGCAAAGAGGCAAACAACTGAAAGAAGTCAACGCAGCTTCTGAGTCTTGCCCTCCCCATCTCCTTTGTCTCCAGACAGGTGGGGCCACCTTGCGCCCATGCCCGCCTCTGGTGCCATTTCCCTCTTCCCTCAGCACTGTCCTCACCTCCCCTATACCCACCACTCATTCTAACCCTTTGGCTGAGCTTCCCTTTACCTCCAAACCTCTCCCCACCCACCTTCTCCTGAAAACCTATTAATAGCTACCCTTCTAAAGATAACTCTGCTGGGGGTCCAAATGAACGTCAAATTGCTTATGTTGCCTGGACTAAGGCTGAATTTCGAGCCATAGAGAAAGAGGTTCCTAAAGTGACTGAGGACCCCATAAATTTGCTGAAGAATGTAACACAGTTATTCAAACTTACTCATCTGATTTCTCAGATTTATACCAATCGGTCCCCATGCTTGTTGGTGAGGGTCAGGCCAAACACTGGATAAAACCAGCCCAATGGGAGCATCCTGAAAGGGGTTTAGAGAAACAGATGCCTGAGTTTTGGCAAGGTGCTAGAACACTCGCTGGAAATCTCCACTGAGTGTTGGAGAAGGTCATCAGAAAGATATGACCACCAGTTGACCTGTGACCTGGACCCCAGCACTTGGAGGCTCCTCACTCCATTCCCCTGTCCTTGGAATGTGGGTTCCCCTTGTCTTTCCCATCCCAGAGGCTGCTCCAAGGACACAGCCTTGAGATGGTGATGTGATGTGGTGTTGAGAACACCTGCAGAGTAGACGGGGCTGAGCCCAGTTATGGCCTCTTTATAAATTTTTAAGATTTGAAGGCAGGTGTGGGGATCCAGCCATCCTGCTGCTGCCCAGGACAAGCCTTGTTATGTCAGTTCCCTTGACGATTAAAATGGACACCTACAAACCTGGAGTGGCCGCCTCTTCGGTCTCTCCCAGCCCTCTGCCAGCGGGGACCGGCTTTAGATCACAGCCAGGAGCTCCTGAGAGGGCTGCAAGCCAACATCAAGCAATTACAGTACCTTTTCCTAAGCCTGCTGATCAAAACAAGATTCAGGCTTGCACAGAGAAGCCTGATGAACCTATTCATGACTATCACATTCGACTCCACATTGTCTTCAAAGAAAATTCTTCCTTTAGATGCTAAATCCACCCAGGTAGCCTTTAACTCCATTTATTAATGAGCTGAACCATCATCTTATGGGAAACCTTGTCCACTCCAGACTTAGTTAACTTGGCAAACCAGCTCATTGGCATCCTCAATGAGTTCACCTAAAAGAAAGACCACACCACTCTCAATTTTCAACTCCAGCAAATGTAGGCCCCTAAACAACCAGCCCCCACCCCTTGTTTCTGCTGCTATTACAAAGAGCCAGGGCAGGAGTTGGCAATGACTTTTCAGAGGTAACACCAAAGGCACAATCCTTGAAAGAAAAATACGTTAGACCTCATTAAAATTAAAAACCCTGCTCTGTGAAAGACACTGTCAAGAAAATGAGAAGACAATATTTGCAAATGAGGAGAAAATATTTACAAAAGATATCTGATAAAGGACTGTTATCCATAATATACAAAAATATTCTTAAAACTCAACAATAAGAAAATGAGCAACCTAGTTAAAAAATGGGCCAAAGACCTGAATAGACAGCTCACCAAAGAAGATGTACAGGTGGCAAATGAGCATTTGAAAATATACTCCACATCATATGTCATCATGGAACTACACATTAAAACAAAACAATATCATTACACACCTATCAGAACAGCCAAATTCTAGAACACGGACAACACCAAATGCTGCTCTTATTCATTGCTGATGGAAATGCAAAGTAGTGCAGCCACTAAACATTGGAAGGCACTAAACATGCTCTCACCATACAATCCAGCAATCACATTCCTTGGTATTTACCAAAGGCGTTGAAAACTCATGTCCACACAAAAACCTGCGTGTGGATGTTTATAGCAGCTTTTATAATTGCCAAAACACGGAAGCAACCAAGATAACCTTCAGTAGATGAATGGATAACTGAGGTCCACCCAAACAAGGGAATATTATTCAGCACTAAAAAGAAGTGATCTATGAAGCCATGAAAAGACATGGAGGAAACTTAAAGGCATCTGACTAAGTGAAGAAGTCAGTCTGAAAAGGCTGCATATGTATGAATCCAACTCTGAACTTCTGGAAAACGCAAAACCATGGAGACAGTAAAAGGACCAATGGTTGCCAGGGGTTGTGTGAGGGGCTTGACCGGTTAGTGGGTGCAGAGTTTCCCTTTGGGGTGATGAAAATGTTCTGGAATCAGATAGAGGTAGTGGTTGCACAACACTGTGACTATATTAAATGCCAACGAATTGTACACTAAAATGTTTAATTTTACAGTATGTGAATTTGACCTCATTAAAAAATAAAAGATGGGGTCCTATGCCTCATCAATATTTTAGAGTTTCATCTTTATTTTAGATTTTCCAGTCTATCCTATTCTGCTTGAAGAAACCCATCCTACAGAACTATGCCCAGAAGTACATAGGGGTATGAGCACAAGTGTCATTGATGCATTATTCCTGATAGTAAAAATCACAAACATCAAAAAATATCCCAGAGTAGGTGAATGGCTAAATTTAATATTCCAGTTACTAAAAACAGTAAGCAGAGCTGTAGTTATTGACACAAGATAGCCATAAAGTTTTGTTCTGTAACAAAGCAGTTTGTAGAATATTAAACGTAATCATCCTATTACTGGGGCGTCTGGGTGGCTCAGTCGGTTAAGTGTCCAACTCTTGGTTTCAAGCTCAGGTCATGATCTCAGGGTCGTGGGATTGAGCCCTGCATCAGGCTCTGCACTCAGAGTCTGCTTGAGATTCTCTCTCCCTCTCCCTCTGCCTGCCCCCCCCGCCATGCTCTCTCTCTCTCTCAAATAAGTTTAAAAAATTTTTAATAATCCTATTCCAAAAAAATTGTCACTCTGTGTGGTGTAGGTACACATATATGGACATGTGTGTTTAGATATGCCAGTTTTTTTAAGGCTTGGAACATTATACACCAAACTGTTACAAGTGGGCTACAGGAACTGGTTGAAGGGAGATACATTTTTCCCTACATATTTCTTAATATTTTACAAGTGTGTATTACTTTTCCAACTTAAAAATAAAAACATTTCATACCATTACTGTTGTCCTTCCAATACGATGCTTATAAAATGCCACTTTTCCAGATCACTCCCACTGCAAAGTGCAGAAGGGAGAGAAGTGGCAGCATGACAACTCACCCAAATGTCCTTCCCTGGAGAGGGCCTTCGGCAGACAGTGCACGTGGCAGAGGCAAAGGATCCATGAGCTTCAACCAGCTTTGAGGCAGGGATGCCAGATACTGAAATTCAAACCAAAGCTAAGTGCTGCTGGCTCCCAGAGCATGAGCTCTGAGCTTGGCAGGCCCCCAAAGGGAGTCACAGCCCTCGGTGCAAGCCTGGTGTCCCTGCCTCCACCACCTACAGATAATGTCCCACTGACCAGAATAAGCACAGGGATCAGGGCTCCCAGATGGAGCCAAATCATGGTTAAACAAAGCCTGTCAACAAGTTTGATGTAAGTTCAAATAAAACTACATCTGATACCTAGGAAAACATTTTCTATTCTACAGATACCAAGTAAAAGCAAAAAAACTATATAGGGGTGCCTGGGTGGCTCAGTCAGTTGAGCATCTGACTCGATTTAGGCTCAGGTCATGATCTCAGGGTCATGGGATCGAGCCCCAAGGCAGGCTCCATGCTCGGCAGAGGGTCTGCTGGAGATTCTCTCTCTCCCTCTGCTCCTCCCCCGATGGGCACATGTGTGCATGCTCTCACTCTCCCCCTCTCAAATACATAAATCTTAAAAAAAAAAAAAAAAAACTATATAAAGACAATAAGTTTCAAAAAAAATGTAGAGCCCCCCCCTCCCCTCTCTGTCTTCTCTGCACTGGGAGCAGCTCTCCTGCCACAGCCCCTCATCCCCTGAAAATGTCTGCCTGTGCAAAGTTTGTCTCCACCCCGCTTCCTGTCAGGAGCACCTGTCAGCTGTTGAGCCTATCACTGTCTGCAGCGGTGCTAAAACCACCAGAAACACTGACAGACAAGAGCCTCGGCAGCTTGGCAGCCCCACATCCCCCGATTTCACTTATTCCTAGCTGCAGCTTCCGAGCCAGCGCCATTTCAAGGGACATCCACAGGACAGCCAAGTGCCTTGGGGCTGGGGCTGCCACGGTAGGGATGGCTGGCTCTGGGGCTGGAATTGGGACTGTTTGGGAGCCTCATCATTGGTTATGCCAGGAATCCCTCTCTGAAGTAACTGCTCTTCTCCTACGCCATTCTGGGCTTTGCCTTCTCAGAGGCCACGGGGCTCTTTTGCTTGATGGTGGCCTTTCTCATCTTCTTCGCCATGTGAAGGAGCCGTCTCCACATCCCATAGGTTTTTCTCCCGTGTCTTGTCTGCCCTGTATGTTCCTTTTCCTCTACCTCCCCAGGCAGCCTGGGGAAAGTGGTTGGCTCAGGGTTTGACAGAGGGAAGACAAATAAATACTGTATTAAGAAAAAAAAAACTGTAGAAAAACAAACACAGGTAACTTATTTATGACAGTTACCTGTTCCCACTGTCAGCTTCTGAGCTATGGATGGGCAGACAGTCCCAGCTGCAAGTGGCTTCCACTGTTCCCATTACTGTCATAAATCTCCACATGCTAAAACCCACGGCCAGACACTCCCACCTTCCCACAAGGCCTGTCTTGCTGCAACTCCAGAAGAGATCATCCCCATGGGGCATCCACTGCTGCCTAAGTGGTTCCAAACTGCAGAATCCTTCCAGCAAGGAATCATTTTCCTGGAGTCCAAGTGACTCCTTTTTACAAATCCCAAGACATCTGCAGCCTAGCTGAGCTGCAGCTGGCTCACTAAGAGTCAGTGTCGCTGCCCCTGAGAGAAAGGCTCAGCAGATGCCTCACTAAGATGCACAGTCGGCAGTCACTACCATCTGTGAATCACTGCTTGTGGCCGCTATCGGGACAGCCAGGAGATCATTATACAAAGAGTTTGATAAGACTAAGGCATGAATAGTGATCTCTTTGTGTGACAATGACATTGTAGTTATGTTTTAAAAGTCTTTATCTTCTAGAGATACCCAGTGAAGTACTTAGAGGTTAAGTTTATGATGTCATGGATTTCCTTCAAAATAACTGGGAGTGAGAGAGAAGGTGGGGGGGTAGGAAGACAGATAAAGTAAGGACTGGCTCTGATGAGGGCATGAGGGTTCATTACTTCCTCTCTTTATTTTTATGCGCTCAAAAAATTTCACAATAAATTTCTTAAAAAAGACATCATCATATCAGATTAGCAAAACCAGAAGCTCCCCGTGTCAACTTTAGTTCCATCCAAAACTCAACAGTCCACCAATGAGACCCCAACGGTGACTCTTAAACACATGGTGCACTTTTTGTCAGGGACAAAGGCATGAGGAGTTGGCTTGCAATCAGAGGACAAGGTGAAGCCTAGACGCAGACACCCAAAGCCTTCCCTGCGGAAGAGGATGTGCGACAGGAGGACGGCTCACCTCTCTCGAGCCCGTCGATGTTCTGTGTGTAGAGCCGCAGAAGCAGCCCCTTGTCGTGAAGCAGTCGGAGGAAGTAGTGTATGACGTTGGGCCTATAGCTCCTGAGGTACAGCTCCTTGGCCAAAGTGAAAAAGGGCTTGGGGTTGTGAGAGAAGAAAGTGAGCTCAAAAATGGCCTCAGGGTAGGGGAGGTCGTACTGCTGCAGGCTGCTGTAGAGGCCACTCCTGGGAGACCTGCAAAAAGGAGCAAGAGGCTCTGAGCCCTGAGGAAGAGGGCAGGACCCTGAGGCAGACCAGGGTGCCAAGGGAGGAGCTGGGCGCTGCAGGGCACCTGAAGTCCGGAATGCCGCTGGGCGTGCTGATGCCGGCCCCCACCATGACCACCACCCTCTGGCAGGCTCTGGCTTGGATCAGCTCCGCTATATCCTGCAGAAAAAGCTTCTCCTTCTTACTGTTGCCTCCTCTTCCAAAGATGCTTGAGGCACTAGCAGAAAAAGATACGGGTCTTCTTCCACCTGTAATCCTGACAGAAAAGGAGAGTGGCCAGGTGACCAGTGACAGTTAAGCTCATGCTAGCCCTTGACCACCCCCACCACTTACAATGACCATACACTTCCCTCCTGTACCCCAAAATGACCACCCTTCTCATCATGGATGACTATTGGGCTACAAGAGAAAGAAGTCTCAACTCAGAAACCAAAACTTATTTGGGAGCAAAAAATTCAGGTCAGTTGGAACTGTGCAAACAAGGGATGTAACATCTCTTAATTCCTGTTATCCAGCGCCAGTGGTAAGAGAACAGGGTCCACACCAAAGGTGTGGGGGCTTTGTGGGGGCTCTGGGTGTGCTCTCTGCAGAGACATACACTGTAGCATACTTGGGATGTGACAAAGAGGCAGTGACATTTAAAGAAACCCAAATGTCTCAGACTTCACACCAAATACTATCAGGAGAAAAAGTGGGTTCTAGAGACTATTCCAGAAAGAAACATTCATGCCCTGAGATTCACACTGCCGCAGAAACTTGATCTTCAATGTTCACAGCCGCTCATACTATGCAGCAGCCAAAGGAATCCCACAGCCAAAAGACAAGGCAGTGGGTAGATTCAGCTCAGGCTCTCTCTGTGAAGCACTGGAAGGCTTCTCAAGTCACCCCCAGAAGCCAGGAGCCGAGACACTCACAAGGCTAAGTATTAGGGATATGAGATGGTCTTCCACAGGAAAAAAAAAAGCAAAACACAATGTACAAGTCACAAGCTTCAGCAGGACCTCAGGACTTAGAAAATGACTCAACACCCAGGAAAGCAACAGGAAGAAACAAAAGCAGTATGAATAATACAAAGCTTGGAGCACTAACTGAACACCCCGCTGAAGTGAGTCTGCAGCCGTGGGAGGCATGCGGTGCTACAGCTTCACCTCACATGGGCCTGGAAAGGGTTCCTGGGTTTACCGATCTGCTGTTAGGGCCCCTGCGTGGCGTCTAACCAAGCTGCGTGACTTCTTCATCTCTTGATATCATGCTGACAACTCACCCAGAGTTCAGGACTGCCAGCCCCACTGCACAGGGCACCTTTTTCACACCCCAAAGACTGGTGGCCACCATGTCCGTTCTTCCAGGAGAAGGCCCTTGATGACCCTCCCCCAGGACATCTCTGACTTCAGTATAGAGACTCCTCCACCCTGATGGGAAAAGAGATTCAACAAATGAAACTGACAACCTCCTCAAATGAATGATGAATCTAAAATAAATACAGACATAAAAACAGGAAACTGAGAGCATTTCTTTTACTCATTTGTGATTCAGGCAAGAAGTAAGCACCCTAAAAGCACATTGTCATACACATCAGAACAATTCAGGAGTATGCATCTTCTAGAAGTATGGCCCTAACTCACTCTCCTGTTTGCTCTTTGTCTTTTGTGTTCTTTTGCTCCTTACAAAACCAACACTGCAAACTCTCTGCACAGACCCACCCACTGGACACACTGTCAGTGAGGTTTCCCCTGAAACTCTCTGCTCCCCATCCTAGCACAGCATATCCCATCCCAGTGACAATTTCAACCCCCACCCTGCCCTCTTATATATCCCCCCTTTCAGCCAAGCAAAGGGATTCCCTGGCTCTTGTATATGTCCTAAACCCAGCTTCCTCTGCCTGAAAAGACCTTTCTCCACCTCAGCATGTCCAAATCTCCCATAGTCAAGGCCAGGACCAAATGCCACCTCCTTCGTGAAGCCACTGTTGAACCCCAGTGAGCAATCACTTTGCCCTCGTTTGATTCCCTGCTCCTTTTAGGCAAGCTGACACCCCCTCCCTTCCTGCAGTGACCCTGCACACCACCTCGCACACTCCACCCTCGGGTCAGGGACCTGCTTGCTGCTCACAGTCCACTTGCTTCTATGTTGTTGCCTCTCCCACCACACAAAGCGTCATCTTGGTTTTCAAAAGAACAGATTTCTGAAAGGTATGTACAAGAGAAAGAAGAACATGACCAAGAAAGGTGTACGTGCAGGGCCAAGGGCGCCCAAAGGAGAGTCAGAGCCCTAGCTCACTACCAGTCTCATCAAGTCACTCAAACCCCCTGAGCCTCAGCTGCCAATGCCAAGAGCAAGAAACGATTCTTACAGTCTTGCTCAAGAAGACCTACAACTGTAGATCTTTCCCAGCAGAAAGTACAGGAAATACACACAGCAGGGAAAACAGTGCTTCTCCCTCGTCCCCACACTCCTGCAGAGATGCCCACAGATCCTGAAGGAAATTCTGCTGCGTCAGAGACTTGTGTAAAAAGCACCCATCAAGCAGTTCTTCTGAGTGCAAGCTGATAAGTCTCCAAAGGAAATTTTCTAGTGAAAACTGGCCAGATGGTCAGGAAGAGAAGAAGATGCTCTGGCTGCAGCCACAGCTGTTAAATGCCCCAAGTCACTCAGCATCTGGAACAACTCTTCCCCTACAGTCTTCACCCAAACATTTACTGAGCTCCTCCTACATGCAAGTTCTTACGAGAAACACAAAAGGAATTAAAGGGAAGTTGTGATATTGTGATATGTTTTTTGGTCTTCATCCACAAACCCCTGGAATTTCTAAGAGCAAAGGGCACATCTTTTGTTACTACGGTTGGTCTCTTGTCCGCAGTTCCGGAACTCCCCTCAGAGCCATGAAGGTGAAGCAGGGGTCTTGTTCTGTTTAACCAGCCCCTCTCCACCACAGCTGGGTTTATGTTCATGAGCGGACTTTGGGAAGGCCCTAAGGATGGGGGCTGGGTGCCAGGGGGATCAACTGTGATTAGAGGGTTGGAGCTTCCATAAAAACTCAAAAGAAGGGGGGGGTCAGAGGGCTTCCAGGTTGGTGAACCACGTGTCAGGCCCCTGGGCCCCAAACTCCATGAGGCAGAAGGGACCAGGGACCCTTGCAGACCTCTCACCCTATGTATCTCTACTTCTGGCCATTCATTCATTTCCTTCAACGTCCTTCGTGATACACCCTTAATCTACTAAGTCAACCAGTCTCCAAGTTCTGTGAGCTGCTCTAGCAAATGAATGGAACCAGAGGAGGGGATCGTGGGGACCTCCGATTAATAGCTGGTCCGTCAGAAGCACAGGAGACAACCTGGACTGGTGTCTGAACTGGGGGCTGTCTTGTGGAACTGAGTCCTTCACCTGTGGTGCTCTCTTCAGGCAGGTGGAGTCAGAATTGAGTTCATTTGCTGGGACACCTGGTCAGTGCAATAAAGGTTTCTGGAATGAAGGAAAGATCCCTTGGATCTATTAAACTCTTCACCAATACTTTTAGTACGTGTGTAAGATGGCATCAAGTAGATGTACCATTACTTAAGTATTAATCCATTATTGGACATTTAAGTTACGTTTCTTTTTTTTTTTTTTTTAAGATTTTATTTATTTGACAAGAGAGCGTAAGTAGGCAGAGCGGCAGGCAGAGGGAGAAGCAGGCTCCCCACTGAGCAGGCAGCCCGACCCGGGCCTCGACCCCAGGATCCTGGGATCATGACCCGAGCCGAAGGCAGCCGCTCAACCGACTGAGCCACCCAGGCGCCCCTTAAGTTACGTTTCTTAACAACTATGGGTCTTAAGAAATTCCCATATGTATGTTCAATTCCTAGGCAATGAAACGGAATAAAGGAAACCTCACTAACACGCAGTGGAGGCCAGCAGGGGGAGCTCCCCCGCCCACCACTCCCTCTTCGCAGCCCTCTGCATTCCCAGCAGGAAGAATCCTGGGCTTCACCGCGCCGCTGAAAAACGAGGGGTTCCGCCCATTCGGACAGCCCAGCCAATAAGAGCAGAGCCCAGCCAATGAGAGCACAGCTCAGCCAATGAGAGTTAGTCACAGCCCAGCCATTGAGAGCACAGCCCAGCCAATGACAGCAGAGCCCAGCCAATGAGAGATGGTCAGAGCCCAGCAAACGAGAGCACACTCAGCCAACGAGAAGCCACTATACTTCCAGTTCCCAGTTCATTCCAAAGGGGTTTTTGCTTATTACAGTCTTCCCAAGCCCCACTCCCCTTCCTCTCTAAAACAGCATTTTTGGGGAGCCTGGGTGGCTCAGTCGGTTAAGGGTCTGCCTTCCGCTCAGGTCATGATCCTGGAGTCCCGGGATCGAGCCCCGCATCCGGCTCCCTGCTCAGCGGGGAGCCTACTTCTCCCTCTCCCACTGCCTGCCGCTCCCCCTGCTTGTGTTCTCTCTCTGACAAGTAAATAAATAAAATCTAAAAATAAAAAATAAAAAAAAAATAAAAGAGCATTTCTGTCCTCTGTTTCTGCAACTTGCCTATGGTTTTGCCATAGCTTTCTTGTCTTGGATTGCAGTTCTCTGCTATTCCTGAATACACCCATTTTGCTGGCAAAGTAAGTTTTATTTTTAAGGTTAACAGCAAAGATCCCAAAATGTACACGTACTGCATAGAAGGGTATGAACATATGCTAGTAGAAGTATTAATTGCACAACCTTTAGACCCAGGAGTCCCACTACGAGGAGTTTATCCAAAAAGTGAGTACAAACAATATACCTCAGCATTTGTAATAACTAAAGATTACAAACTATTTCAATAAGAGAATGATTAAATACATTATGAAACATCAATAGAATGGAATCCTACAGATCCCACCCCCAAACTGAGAGTTGTGGGGGGGCATCCTCAGTTCCCCGCAGAGACAGACAACGGGAGGAGCCTGAACTACAACCAAGAAGCCCAGACTCCATCTTGACCTCCCCCTGCGGGGACAGGAGCAACAGGTCCCTCCTCCCTGACTCTAAGCCCTTTCCTGTAAGGTGAGGCAGGGCCTGGGGAGCTCTTCGTTGGGGTAGATGTGGTGGTTCGAATAAAAAGTCATGCAAAGAAAAAAAAAAAAGGAATTACAGATCAGTATAAAAGACTAAGAAAGCATTTATGTTTTGAGATGCAAGTAAGTCCAAGACATATTGTTAAGTAAAAAAAGCTAACTAAAGAATGTCAACAATGAACATACAAGTGTTGCTTGTACTCATCCAAAATATCCCTAAGAAACAAGAAACT